AATTTGGATATATCAACAAAGTTGAAATGGTAAATTGTCCACCGTAATGATTACAAAAGCTGACGTTTCGAGGGTTAGCCCTTCGTCGGAGCGACGAAGGGCTAACGCTCGAAACGTCAGCTTTTGTAATCATTACGGTGGCCAATTTACCATTTCAACTTTGTTGATATATCCAAATTTTTTCAATGTATGAACTGATAACTTGCATATCTTAAAGCACTCTCCACCAATGATCGTATCATACAGTATTCGACGTAAAAGCCGCAGCCTGTTTTCGTACGCCAGTGAACGGATCTACCCGACGAAAGAAAACAACGTTTACTCAGAGATGTTGAAGACTGGTCCGATTTCTTCCTTATGAAATACTGTGAGATGAAGTCGTGTAAACTCTTGACATTGAAAAGGCACGTGCACAGTCCAGCAGCAATTATGTCTCAGTCCAGTTAGAAGACAAAGCAAAGTGAATGATATGTTTCTCAACTTCTTCCCACCTTGAACTCAGGGACGCTCTCAGATGTGTAAATGGTTTTCTGATGCGAATTAGTGACAGAAGATATTTTAAAGTAATTAAAACTGCATGGGTGAGGTCAAACTGAAGTAAGACTTCCTTACAAACTAACTTGGTGTGACTGATTTTGAGACTTAAAATGGTCATAACTTCTGGAGAATTGGAGTATTTTCTCACATAGATAAAGAATTGAAGTATTTTCCGACATGGACGCTTTATTCAGACCCACATCTGTTTGTACTCAGGTTCGTGTGATCGTAAAATGTAGGAATAATATTCATTCGGTTTCCACCCCTATTTCATAAAGAAATTCTCCCACGGATATGAAACTTTTTATGCAAAAGGCATGTGAAAAGTATTGAAACGCTTGTGAAAGTTTCTTCATAAGTGTTTCGAGTTATTCTTGAAGCTTGCAAGTGAAAAACTATCTTTCACGCATGCGCTTTTGATCCCAACCGGCGCATAACCAACGGCATATTTTTTAAACTCAGTTTGGCACCAGAGAAATACTGACGGCGCGCACAAGAAATTAACTGCACGCGCTTCTTTGTAAAACAACGTCATAAAGCCGTTCTCATGGTAATAAAAAAAATCGAAAACTACCGTGGCTGTCTGCTATCAGAGAGAGCTCTGCGTACAAAAAGGATATCTTGTTTGTGTTAGTCTCAAATTTCTCATATATAACCCAGTCAGACAACTCAGTCAGAAGAAGATCCAGTGTATTATTAGACAATCGTGAAACAATGAGGAAAGCGACGCAGTCTCAGAAAGTGTTTTCTCTTCTTCGCGATGCCCTCAGTTCAGGAAAGTACTGGCGCTGTATCAGATGGTGCAACCAGGGAACAACTATGCTTATTACGAGTTCAAAGCTCTTTGAAAAAGAAGTGTTGCTGGGAGTTTTGAAAGAGTTGAGGTTGAAAGACTTCTCGAGTTTTGCAGACATGGTTTACAAAATTGGATTTCAGAGAGTGCCCACTTCAAGGCCCTCGAAGGTTTACAAATTCCGCCATCCACTTTTTCAGTTGAACTGTAACGGTGGTCGCGCCTGTGATGAAAACGCGAATAGTGTTGAACTCAAGGGTCTGCAACAGAACCGGAAGCGAAAAATGATGGGCGAACTTACACATGATTCTGATGGCAAGGACATTTCAAATAGGGAAAGTCATTCAGAACTATTGGAGCCAGGTCTTAAAAGACAGCGAAAATCAGAAGAAATTCTGTCTGGAGAAAGATTAAAAGCTGTCGTAAAAGAGAGCAAGATTTCCCGCTGGGGAGTCAAGGAATGTCTTGTTAAACCATGTACTCTATTTGTCTCGGCCAATCAATGTTCAGCGAGGAAGCAGCCAGTTCTGAATCGGTACAGCTTATCAGAAATAATCGCTGCCCATGGTCTCCTCAACCTGGCCTCGACAACAGCTGTGCAATTTGGGATTAACGATTCCCCGATGGGACTTGACACGGCGAGGAGATTATATGATTTGTTCTGGTGCGCCGTTTTCATCAAGGAAAGAAATATCCGCGAATTGGATGCAGCTACAGCTTTGTTGGAACTCTCTCAGAACACAGTGAAAATGATGCAGTGAAACTTTGGTTCGACGTTATAAATGATATTTACAATTTGGAGCATAGAAATGCTCTTTTATTTTTATAATATGATCTTGCATATGTCGATGATGAGAATAGTGTTTCATTGATCACGCGTCCGATTAAATTTGTTTTTGTTTCTGGTAATATGCATGTAAGGGGTAAAACAAAAAAATTGCTCAAATTTGACTGTTCCTGTCTGTGCGTAAGTAACAACTAACCTCGGACTTGAATCCTGTCGAAGCAGGAATTTTATAGGCTTCTTTTAAAAGTAGCGTTAGGCTGCACTCGAACTTCAACATTATTATTTAAATGAATCTACGGGAGGAAAACAGGCAGAGATTATAACAATTATTCTTCTTCTTCGATCCGTCCCATAACACACATAGCTTTTTACTTCGTTTAAAGATCTACTCCGCCGATCATCACATACGTACAATAACATCTTGCTATATTTTGGATTGGGGGTAGCCTGCGTGCTAGCTCTTTGACAAGATTATGAAAATGACCATACCCTAGTAAGAGTGCAATTACAGCCCTTGCCTGTAACAGTCCGACAAACCCCGTGGGGAGTTAAAACAAGAAATCGAAAGGGAGTGCTAAAACAAAGATTAAGACTGTTCCATGATGAGGGGAGACCATCTGGAGTGGATGGGGAACTGGGCACTTTTACAAGGAAGATCTGTTTGCGAATGTCATCTCCTGAAGCTAGTCCGCCTGATCCCAATAATTCAGTATTTTATTAAGACCAAGGTGTTGGTTCGGCTTAAAGTTAGAACCCTTGGCTTCTTAGACGACAGTTGCCACTACCATACGAGGGATTTAGCACCCCGTTTACGAGAAACAGCAAACGTCAGCTTTTCCTTTCACTTTTCAAGTAAAATAGCCTGAACTGGCCTACCGCTTTATCTTCGCGTAAGCTCACGTCAGTGGTGGATCCAGGGGGAGGGTCCGGGGGATCCGGACCTCCCCTATCAGATCCGACGCTTAAACTTTGAGAATGAAATTCTTACATTGACAGGATCGTATATCACTTTTTAACTGGCTGATTTTTTTAATTAATGAATCCAAGTAAACGGTAAGCGGCCAAGGAATTATAACGCGCAAGGCGCGACTGGTGGGAGGGGGTGTGGGGGTGTTGGGGAGAAGTAATTTGCCTCAAAAGAGTCCAACAGTCCCTTCTGAACCAAAGTTTGGACCCCCCCCCGATAAAAAATTCCTGGATCCGCCCCTGCACGTCAAGGTGGATTTGAATGCGCTCATTTATGACGTACGAGGAATAGTTTTGGTGGCCTTTTTCCGGCAAGTAACTTCTATGCTGTGAGAGAAAAAGTGAAGAAAATCTTACGTACACGGTAATCGCGAAACAGGTTACTTTCACGTAGTAACGGCAAAGTGCAACAGGCAAACGCGGGAAAAACGTGGCCACGTGGTCACTCTTACCGTTCACATTTCACGTAAACGAGATGCGAAATCTCTCTATAATGAGGAGATCGGAGGCAAGCGAGAATAGAAGCGGGCGCACGCACGTTGGAAAGCTCGTTTCTCGCTCTTCGCATTTTTCTTAGGCTTGCCTAGCTCGCCTGAAATTGATAAAGAGCAAAAACAAAAACAAAAAGGAAATTAAGAATGACGATTGCTAACTTAGCCTGGTAATGGTCAGATGTCAACAACTATGCTAGTGTGCATCCGAGCGCATAAATATGACCATACCCTAATATAAGTGCAATTACAGCCCGTGCTTCTGCAAAAAAATGCTACAAACCTGTGAGGAGTTCAAACCAGAGATCCAATGGGAGCGTTAAAAAACAAAGATTAAGACTGGCCCTTCCAGGACGAGATCATCTGGGTGGAGAGGAACTGGGCACTTTATAAGGAAGGGCTACTAAGCTTCAATATGGCGGACCAAGGGGTTCAAAATGACAGACAACCATTGTAAATAATCGATTTTAATTGAAATGTATGGTGGTCCTCGACGTCCAAACTTCTCGCCTTTCCAAGGAAGAGCGAGAACACCTCATCCCAACCTTATACCGCGCTTTGAGAACCCGGCTTTTCTTCCGCCTGGTCAAATAGTTTATCCATCTCAAAGACAGCCATTTCCTTCCTCATCACAAAGGCCTCAGTTTTA